TGGAGAGAGCTTTGCTTTGCTGGAGGCTGCGAGTAGCAGCAAGGAGGTAGTGATTTACTATACATTTAAATAGAAATGTGGATTGAATAATCATCTCTGCGTTTCGGAGACTATCCAAGGAGCTGAACATACACCCATAAAATTATTACGGTCTTAGGGAGCTATAGTAGGGGATTATGAGGATTTTTAAAAAATGTAGTTAATATGAATTTGTATGAATATACTTACGTTTTTATAAGTCTTTGCTAACCAAAACATGCCATTGTTTTGTACCTTCTTTGTACCTATTTCAAAGGTATCTTTGAAAGGTATCTTTGAAATAGGTACAAAGAAGTAAAGATATTCAAAAATTAGCCTCAATTTCATGTAAAAATACCGTAAGTTTTTAAAAAAACCAACATTACAAAATTGGGTTCCTCCCTCTATTTTTGTTACTTGTGGAAAGTTAGAAAATAAGTGGAATTGCTTTACATTAAAGAAAACCTTTAAAATACTTTTATAAAGTTAAATGTCTTTTATAATAATTGATATACTCCATGAATTAGAATTTCTCAGGCTCTAAAGTTGAACCATAACTATTATTTTTCACAGCTTTTTTTCCATAGTAAGTGCAAGTGCATCTGAAACATGGTAGCCCACTGCTTATCTCTGCTTAAAAGTTTTCTATTCAAAAAATGGCAAAATGTGTTAAGCATGAGGTTTCTTCTGCTTGAAAAAAAGCAGAATGGTCCACTGTCTCTTACTGAAAGTAAATCATCATTTTTTCACATCTTTGTCCACGTTTGTGCATGGTTTTATTTGTAAGAATGGGAATGTCATTGAAACTGGAAACAGCTGCTTGTATTTACCTTCCCGAATTATAGGGCATATTGCTTCTAGGAAATGCCTAACAAGTTAAAAAGGCTACATTTGTGGTAGGTTGAAATACGCTTGCTATCTGGCCTCATAATCATCTCTAACTGTAGTTACCCCATGGAGTTAATGATTCAAGGTAGCTGGGTTTGCTATTTCATGACCACTCTATACCTTCTAAACCCAGGAAAGCTCTTTCAAAAACAGTACAGTACGTGGAAACCTGAGAACATGACTAGAAATGTAGATCTATCAAAAAAGTCAATACAGTGTATACCCTATTGAAATTGGTCAAGAACAGTATCTTCCTTGGAAGATAGAATATATAGAACACATACAATTCTGACTAAGGCTAAGTTATTTCTGAGAAGCACCAACTTTTCATGTCGTTTCCATTAAAATCAGGGGTGTGTTGGTATGGATGAGAGAGGAGATTATATAGTAATGCCATTTCTCCTAGTTCTCTCTCTCATTTACAGTTCATGCTGAATTGCTTATCTTGCCCCAGAAATTTTTTATAGTTCAATTTTTTCCCATTAAGAATATCAGCAAACAAAGGACATTTAAAAAGAGAACTGGCATGAAAGTTTAAAGTCAGTTTAAAAAAAAAATCAGGGAAGTGCTGGGGAAGGGTAATGTGATTGGACAATCTTTCTTTCTGTTCTCTCTTT